AGAATAGAATAGAATAGAATCTTTACTGTCATGGTAACAAGTAGGGCTGGACCCGAATAGCCGACTATTGGTTCGCTGTGCTGGAACCGGGATATCAAACTTGATCTCCGAATATCCCCGCCGCCGCGGAAACGGAGCTGACACCGCTAACCTAAACACAGACACTGGTCTTTGTAGCCAAATGCGGCCTGTCACGCTCACTCCAGCTCGTCCAGGTTATTTTCCCTGCACCATTCTGTTTGTTGCTCCACCTCATTTCTATAGGCAGACTCATCCCTCCCAGAGATGAGCCTCACCACTGTGGTGTCGTCTGCAAACTTTACAATGGTGTTACTGTGGTGGGCAAGGGTGCAGTCGTGGGTGTAGAGCAGGGGGCTCTGCACACAGCCCTGTGGAGAGCCGGTACTGAGGCTGAGAGCCGTAGATGTGTGGTGGCCCACTCTGACCCTCTGACTGCGCCCAGACAGGACACTGCTTCTCCACATGCAGGTGGAGTGTGGAAGACCCAGGTCCCCCAGTTTGTCCATCAGTTTGTGGGGGAGGATGGTGTTAAATGCAGAGCTGTAATCCACAAAGAGCAGCCGTACGTAGCTTCCCCGTTGCTCCAGGTGGGACAGTGCAGCATGGAGGGCTGTGGCTATGGCATCCTCTGTTGATCTGTTTGATCTGTACGCAAACATCTGGGGGTCAAAACTGTGGGGCAGGAGTGATGTGGCATGACCCCTGACCAGTTTTTCAAAGCATTTCATCACCTTGGGAGTGAGTGCGATCTGCCTCTGGTGGCTCCACCTCAAAGTGGGCAAAACAGAGGTTCAGCTCCTCTGCCAGCATGGCGTCGCCTTCAGCAGCACCCGGATTGGTTCTGAAGCTGGTGAGATGCTGGACACCTTGCCGCACCTACTTGCTGTTGTTGCTGTCCAGATGGTCCTCAATTTTCCTCCTTTAGTCTGATTTCCTCTCTTCAGGTTAGCTCGGGCCGAGCTGTAGAGAGTCCTGTTGCCAGACCTGAAGGCGGTGTTCCTCTCCTTCAGCAGCCGCTAGACCTCCCGGGTCATCCAGGGCTTTTGGTTAGGGTAGACCCAAATGCGTTTGTCCACTATGACAGTGTCTATGCAGTTCTTGATGTAACACAAAACACTGTCCGTGAACATCTCCAGATCTTGATGTTTGAAAACATCCCGGTTGGTTCTGTCAAAGCAGTCCTGGAGCTGCTGAGAGGCGCCTTCCGGCCAAGTCTTGACAGTCTTTGTGGTGGTAAGAGCAGTTTGTAAGAGCAGTTTTCCTGAGGGGGGCATATGCAGGAATTCAAAGCAGGGATAAGTGGTCAGAGGTTTTATGTAAGAATGCATGCAATTTTAAATACAGTTATCAAAATGGCTTCAGTAACTGTATTTAAAATTGCATGTATTCTTACATAAAACCTCTTACCTTCACCTTTAATAATAAAAATGAATAATAATGGAATAAAATCTAGAATAGAATAGAATAGAATAGAACTTTATTGATCCCTTTGGTGGAAACCTAAGGGAAATTGCTGTACCAGCAACAACAACAACAATCTGAGATAAGAAAAAAAAATTAGCACAGTTTCAGGTCCTGCAGAAATTCTGTGATTACAATGTCCATCCATCCATCCATTATCATCCATACACAGTCTAATCCTCACTAGGGTCGTGGGGGGCTGGAGTCTATCCCAGCTGACTCAGAGTGAAGGCAGGTTCACCTGGACAGGTAACCAGTCTATCACAGGACTACACTTAGAGACAGACAACCAAGCACACTCACATTCACATGCACGGATGATTTAGAATCACCAATTAACCTCAACATGTTTCTGGACTGTGGGAGGAAGCCGGAGAACCCGGAGAGAACCCACGCTGCACGGGGAGAACATGGAGACTCCACGCAGGAAGATCCCGGGTGTCCTCATCGAGACGCGAACCAGCGACCTTCTAATTTCAGGGCAATGGTGCTAACCACCAAGTCACCTTGAAGCCCCTGATTACAATGTCTTTAATTTTATTTACGTTTTTCTTAAAACTTAAACTGCAGCCAACAATTGATCAATATCAGATAATGATCCCCATACAGGGGTCCTTGTACCTTGAAGGGTGCTGTGTCACTAGCTTTAGCTTTATTTAAAAATACATATTGAACAAGTTTAGTGGAAAACAATGTGATCAGTGCTCCCAATATAGCTCAACCTTAGTCAAATTAGTTATTAATTAAATTAGTAATAGGAGCTAAAAAATAATGGATGACTTAATGTATAAATACTTCAAAGTAGTGAATGATTGGTTGAAATTTAGCAAAACATAAAAGATCCAGCAGTTGAAATACAGCTTAAAGAATGTAAAAAAAAAAAACAAAAACAAAAGTGAAAACACTAACATTTGGATCAGTGGTTGAATGTGCAGCTTTTGTCACTGTAGGTGGGATTACAAACTTTACCAAAAAATACTGTAATAAATCTACTTTTCCATCATCATCGTGTTAAATAACATCCAGTATTTATTCATCACAGATGATGTCAACAACGTCAGGAAACGCTGACAGTCAGTTATTAAAGGATCAAGAGGCTGGCTTTCTCCAGGCTCAGGATAATGGCATGTTCAGGTTCACATGCTAATTAAGAGGTGAGACAGGTGTCAGCGAGAGTCTGTATGAGGCAGGAAAGAAAACCGGCTCAACAGGTTTGCTAAACATTCCTCCTCCTCAATTGGTAACGCTGAAGAGCTGAGAGTTGTTCGCCAGCCAACCCAAAATCCAAACAACTAGAAATAAAAAGGAGTTAAGCACATGAAACGTAGCAGACGCTGTAGAGTCAGGATCAAATCCCAAATTAACATACATAAAATAACGGCAAGACGAGATCCGTGAGCAAAGATTAAGACAATACATGAGACAACAACAGCTTTACCACGTTGGAAATGTATCCAAGTTATTAGCTCTCGATAAAACAATACATCAATGGTTATATCAGAAGGAGAGAGAACTCATTCAAGATGTGTTTGCTTCACTCAAGTAGGCATTATGGTCTCAAATAAGGCTTGTATCAGGCCTTGTTGTCAGGAGTGCAAACAAAAAACATCTACACATAGCTGATAGGATCATCAATGCAGCTGAGATGCAGTATTTTATTGCAGCTTCTACCAGTTTTGCAGGCACTAGATGCGAAGAAAATAAAAAGCTCATTCGCTACTGAGTAAGTTAGGCTTATTTTTCTAGTTTTATAGAAAATTTTCCTTCCTAGTTTATTTGTGAGTTCTGAGAAAATAGCTCTTGGACAGTTATGACAAGATGAAACTGAACCGCATACATACATTAAGAATGACACATGATGAGTTTATTTCTTTAATTGACATTGTCACATTGCAAATGGTACGGGTTATTTTTAAGCATTGTCCTTTATACGTTTTTTGCACAATAAACACTTTATGACATGATGGATAATATTTTATTTCAACTTGTTTTCACATCTTGGGGTTGCTTTTTCATTAGTGTCAGCCTCTGCTCAACTTTAATTTATAGGAATTCAATCATCAGTAATCGAGGTCTATTTCTTGCGCTTCAGTCTTTTTTTGTTTTGTTTCATTTTAATCTTATGAGTTCCTGTATGCCGTGATTTTGTTTTAGTTTTGTTTGTACATTTTTAGATTAAAATATACAAATGATAATCATATTGTCACTTTATAATATTTCTGAGTCTCTGAAGTTTCTGTTAAACGCAGGTCAGATTTGCAGATTTTGTCAAAAGAAATCTCCGTAGTTAAAAAAAACTGTAAAAAAAAAAAAAAAGAAAGAAATAGTTGGAATTTCAGCTTCCTGACAGTCATTCAAAAAAATCATGTGTCAAACATAGTTCTGTCAAGAAAAATAACAAAATCAATTTTTTTGCAATTGCGACATTTCTTCAGCATCAGTAACAAATTCAGAGAGTCTTGACGTGTACTGATGATGGTGTTTGTGTCTTAAATCCTGAAGAGAAGTGCTGCTTTGAAAACATTATACTTAGAAATACATTAAAGTGTCACATGCATAATCTTAATCCATCTGTATGCTCAGAATTACTTATACAAATGTCACCAGAACTTTAAATCTGTTGTTCATTGACTCAACACTGCTAAGCGCTTTTTTCTGTTCACGGTGAAGTGTCTCTACAGCACCTTGGCCTCACAGGAGTCGGGCTGCAGAATCTGAAGGGTAATAATGAGCTTGATTGATTTCCTGAACCAGGGGTAAAAGAAGGCGTAGATGATGGGGTTTAGACAGGAGTTGAAGTAGAACAGACATATCACAAAGGCAGCAGATGAACTATTGAGCAAGTTGTCTTGGCCTGTGAGCGCAGCACAGTAATATGGGCACAGACATATTATAAACACAATTACAACAACACTGAGAGTCCTGGCTGCTTTCAACTCAGATTTCTTTGCAGTGACTGTAGCTGAGTGCTGGATCGGTACAAGCTGAGAGCGCATTGCACGAGCCTGAGACACAGCAACCAGGAACACTCGCACATACAGAGCTATGATGATAGTAATGGGAACAATAAAGGTTATGACGATGTCTACATATCTTGCAATAGAGTTGAGGACAATCACACACTCTCCGACGCAGGTGTTGTTCCTGCCCGGCGGCTTCAGGTTATCCTTCACATTTAGACATTGAGCAATCAGAGGCAAAATCCAACACAGACACACACAGATTTGAACTCTTTGTTGTGTGATTTTGACAGAGTAATGCAGAGGGTGACAAATGGCCACATAGCGGTCAACAGATATGATCACCATGGTTCCTACTGAGGCCGA